GTCTGATGATAATCTAATGGGTTTTCCTTTATAAATTACCATTTTTTTCTCCCTGGCTGCCCTGAGAATTCTGTCTTTGTCGTTGATTTTTGATAATTTTAACACGGTGTGTCTTGATGAAGGCCTTTTTGGTTTGAGATAACTGGGTGTTCTGTTGACTTCTTGAATTCTAAGCTCCAGCTCATTCGTTAGAATTGGGGAATTTTTGTCTGCTATTTGTCTGAAAATGCTTTGTGGTCCTTGTTCCTTTTCCTCGCCTTTGATAATACTCATTATCCTTATGTTTCCTCTCCTGATGGTATCAGCTAGTTCTTGATTTTCTCTTTCATTATTTTTCATTCTTTGGGTTCTCTCTGATTCCTTCTGATTTATTTCTAGATTTTTGTCTTCAATATCACTGATCCTTTCCTCTATTTGGTCGACTGTATTTCCCAAGGTTACTATTTAATTTTTCATCTCTTGCAGTGTTTTCTTCATCTCCAGAAGTTCTATATGGTTCTTTTTGAGAGTTTCATTCTCCTTGCTCTGCTCATCTAGTTGTTTTTTCATTTCCTGAAATTGTCGATATGTCTCGTTTGGGAATTCACTGAGTTTTTTCAGAAGTATCATCCTGAATTCTCTGTGATTTAAATTGCATATTTCTATGTCTGTAAGCTTATTTTCTGGAGATTTTTCTTTTTCTTTCTGAGATGCTTTGTCACCTTGGTTGTTCGTGGTGTTAAATGGACTCTTTCCTGGGCTGGGCATTAATGGAAATGTATTCTGCTTTTTTACGTGAAAGAAGATTTATTATGTAAAGGTCTGTCTCCTAGGATGCTACAAAGAAGGTGCTTTTCTTTTGGTTTCCAGTAGGTGGCATCTAAGCCTCTTGGATCCCTGCTTTATATAAAGCCTTAAAAATGTCTTTTTATTTTCTGATAGATATTTCATCACGCTCACTACCCTCAATTTCAGTCCCTGTCAGTGTTAGCAACAGTTTCGGTAGCATTTGCTCAGATTCTCTTGGAGGTCCCCAGTGTTCTGTCTCAGAGGGTATGGGAGGAGTCCCCCTCTGGATTGGGGGTTGGGGGCTGCGTCTCAGCCTCGGTTTTGCAACCGTGGCCAGTAAAAATCAACTTATTTTTCTGCTGTCCCACTTCTCTGCCTTCTGCCGTGGTGACTGGGCCCTGCTGCCAGCTAAGAGGAGCTCACAGCTTTCCCAGGCGGGGATGCTCAGGGAACTTGCCGCTTTTTCTCCCCTCCCCCTTCTCCTTCAGATAGCTTTGGGGAATACGAGAGACAGCTTCTTTGTTTCTCCTGGTCCACTGCCTGACACTTGGAGTTCTGACCTGTGATAGGTCTCATACGCAGATCCCATGCTCAGACGTGCTAGTGTGCAGTTTGGGTGTTTTATGTTGAATTTTAGATATTCAGCTTATTGTTGTTTCAAGAGGAGAGAGCCTGGCATGTTTCCACTCTGCCATGTTTCCACAGTCCTTTTGTACTTTTGAACTTTGTATTGTATATACATATTACTTATTGGGAAAAAATAAACTTATAATCTATGCTAATTAAGAGATGCATTAAGTCTGTTTTGTGACTAAGAGTCTAATTGTCTTTATTTTCTGTAGAATGTGTATTTTTTTACATTGTTATTAACTATGCTGTACATTACATCTCTTTTTCATTTTATAACTGTGACTTTTTCATTTTATAACTGGAAGTTCGTACCTTTTGTCCCCCTTCACCCATTTTGCATACCCCTGACCTCCCCACCTCCAGCAACCGTCAATCTGTTCTCTATATCTATGAGCTCATGTTTTTGTTTTTTGATTCCACATGTAAGTGAGATCATACAGTATTTATTTTTTCTGTGTGTCTTATTTCACTTAGCATAATACCCTCAAAATCAGTCTGTGTTGTTGCAAATGGCAAGATTCATTCTTTTTCATGGCTGAATAATATTCCATTTTGTATATATACCACATCTTCTTTATCCATTCATCCATAGATGGACACCTAGGTTGTTTCCATTTTTCAGTTATTGTGAATAATGCTACAGTGAACATGGGGGGGCGGTTCAGATATTTTTTTGATTTAATATTTTTGTTTTCAGATAAATATTCAGATGTAGAATTACTGAATCTTATCGGTAGCTCTATTTTTAGTAATCTCCGTACTGTTTTCCATAGTGGCTGCACCAATTTACAATACCACCAACAGTGCATAAGGGTTTCCTTTTCTTCACATCCACCAGCACTAGGCTGGTAGTTCCTTTCACTTAATAGTTTAAATATTTGATTCCATTTCTTTCTGGCTTGTAAGGTTTGTGCTGATAAGTCTGATGATAATCTAATGGGTTTTCCTTTATAAATTACCATTTTTTTCTCCCTGGCTGCCCTGAGAATTCTGTCTTTGTCGTTGATTTTTGATAATTTTAACACGGTGTGTCTTGATGAAGGCCTTTTTGGTTTGAGATAACTGGGTGTTCTGTTGACTTCTTGAATTCTAAGCTCCAGCTCATTCGTTAGAATTGGGGAATTTTTGTCTGCTATTTGTCGGTAGCTCTATTTTTAGTAATCTCCGTACTGTTTTCCATAGTGGCTGCACCAATTTACAATACCACCAACAGTGCATAAGGGTTTCCTTTTCTTCACATCCTCACCAGCACTTATTGTTTGTTGTCTTTTTAATAATATCCATAGAATGTATAATTTTAAGAGGTTTTGGATTGATTCAAATTCAGAAAGCATTAACATACAGCATATTTTTACATTTATTAAGAGCTGTTTTCCCATTCTAATTCAGTAGGATTGCTATTAAGGGATTGCAAGCTGGGTCATCTTAGAAAACAATTTGCAAAATGATTTGTTTAGTTGTTAATTCCAATAATTGTTTAGATGAGGTCATAATTAGTGTGGCATAGTAATAATATCTAATGTTTCTTGGATTGTTACTGCAGTTCACATTCATTATCTATTTTAATCCTCACTAGTATTCTGATTTAGGTAGTATTATCCTCACCTTAACAGATGAGGAAACTAAAGCTTAGAGGTGTTAAACTTACCCAAGGTCTTGAAATTCTAGAAAGTTGCAGAACCAGACTTTAAAGCAAGATCTGGCTTTCTGAAGAGCTCATACTTAACTAGCTAAGCAAAGCACTGTACTCTGTAGTTGCTTCCCCAAACAATTGCAGGTTATGAGAGAGGTGTTATAATAAAGTAATGAGGCTGAATTGAAAAGTTGCATGCTCCTTTTTGTCTTTACTACGTAGTCATCTCTATTTTAAGATTTTTTTTTTTTTTTTTTTAGGCGAGGCAACCCTTGGTTGACCTCACAGATTGCAAGGAACTTGTCAGCTTACAGTCCCTTATTTTTTTATTTTTTACGCCTACAGCACCTGATCTTCCTAGGTGGTCTTCCATCCAAGTACTAACCAGGCCTGACCCTGCTTAGCTTCCGAGATCAGACGGGATCGGGCATGTTCAGGGTAGCATGGCTGTAGACTCTAAGATTTATGAGATTGTTATTTCTTAATATGATAAAAGTCCTCAGCAAAGGACTTTTCATAATATTCATGATATGTATGTTTATTGATAGGTTTTTTTCTTTTTAAAATTCATAAGCACATGATTCCAAAATTAGTTTATATAAAAAGATAGCCATGGGAAACTCTAATTCTCATCTTTGTCAGAGCCTACTTGACTCCTCCATCCCACCCTCCACCCTGTGGTATCCATTTTTATTAGTTCTTATTTATCCAACCATTGTTTATACAGAGGTAATCAAAAAGGAAAACAAAATATGTTCTTCTCTTTTATAGGTGTATTTTCTACAAATAGGATGTTTTTTTTCCTCCATCTGCTTCAGTTTTCAATTAGAAAAAATAAAATCTTATTAACAAATTCAGTTCCTTTCTAGTAGTTCTCCTTTACAGTATAGTGCTTTTCCTTTGGGAAGTCTAATATATGGCAGCAGGAGTTTCTGTCACAGGTGATTTTTAAAAAAATTCCGTAATCTAATTAGGTGAACTGCAGTAGACCACAGTATATTTGAAAATTATTGAGTAGGAAAAAATCCCTTCAAACTGAACAGCCTCAGTGTGTTCTGTGTTTATATATGATTTTGAAGGTATGATATACACTGTAGTAGCATTCTTTAAAAAACAAAGCATGATCTTTCTAGTAAATAGTATTCATTTTTGGTTAAGTCTAATGGCTAACTTTCCTTTCTTTTTATTCATTGTAGTTAAGGCAGTCCCAGTCCTACTGCACAGACACAGAATGTCTTCAGGAGTGTAAGTAATGGTGGGACAGGAGGAGGCTTGGCATTGGGGGCAGAATTAGAGGTCACATAACTGTGAATATTTATCAGATATTCTCATAGTCTGCTCTTTAAGGAATTGTTTCTCGGTGATGTATTTCCTACTAAATATTTAACTTTTTATCTTAAAAAATAGTGGAGTTTTTTTGGCTTCAAAAACAAACTCTGTTCATTGAAGAAAATTATAAAAATAACAGAGAAGAAAAAAAGAAAAGGAAAAACTTCCAGAATGCTAAAAGATAACCACTGTTGACAAACTTGATATAAACCCTTCCAGACCTTTTTCTTGGCAAATATATGTGTAACAGGGCACCTTTTGCTGGTTGAACTGGAACATTGAGGCTGCTAGTACCAATTCCATACTCTTTTCTTAGCATCTATTTTCATCCATTGCTAGCTTTGAGAACTGAGTAAAGAGAGGCCGTTCTTTCCCAAGGTTTGAAAATTTTGGGAGCCTGTGAAGTCATTCCTTTGGTTCTGACATTAGCATTCTCAAAAGGGCATGGGCAGTGGAGAGGTTTCTCTCCATGTGGCTTTATGTGCAGTAGTGATAGTAAAGTGAGAATTAGAGCAGGAAGATGCATCCTACATGGTGACTGTAGCTGACAGACTTGATGGCCATTATGTGAGGCATCTTTTTTCAGTACAGAAATAACTGGAAGGGTACATTAAGGGGAACTAATAACTAACATTTAAGCCTGTCATATTAATTTGACTATTAAGGATGGAAGTAAGACATTCACAGGATGGTGAAGCCTGGCACAATTAGATTTCATATACATTTATAAAAATGGGATTACTTTGTATGTATTGTTTTTCACTACTATATTATGATATATTGGTATATATTTATCTTAAAAATATATACTGACTAAATAATATGCTATTATGGGGATATACCAGTTTTTAAATGAAGCCCTTTTATTGGAATCTTAGGGTGATGATATATTTTTTATTATTGTCACTGTTAGGGCCAATCAGAGTTCAGTGTCTCCCCAACTGCAGAAGGGAGGGAGAGGGATAAAGATGGTGCAGAATTGTAGTTAGCATTTTCCCTTACATTTTCTCTCTGTTCTTCCTTAAATGACTTACAGGTCATTGAGATTTAATAGTTTTATTAAAGATATACTTTAGAAAGACAAAGAATACCCCAAAGAGGCACATGGTCCCAGCGCTGCAACCAACACAAAAAGGCCACAAAAAAGAGAACCTAGAAGGGGGAAAAGAGGCCAAGAGTGGGAATGTCTGCCTTATATTTGGGCTATGATGGGTGGTTCCAAAGGCATTCCTAGGTGATTGGCAAATGAGGTCATTTTGGTTGACATCTGGCTGTTATATAATTCTTTGGCTAGTGCGCATGTGCATACCTAGAATTCTACTACCATTGGGGTGTTCTTTGGGCAGTCTCTAGGCTGGGCCCCTATTCCTTTGTTCACCCAGTTACTCATGTCTGACTAGCTACCTAACATTATTATAAGCAATATTTAAACATTCTTGTATGTACATTTTAAAGCTCTTGACATAGTGCTAAATTGCTTTTATTAATAGGCTAGTTGCTTTTTTTTTTTTGAAATCTTATTTATTTAACCAGGATGTCTGGCATTTTTTCAGCAATTAACACATGTGCAAGATGCTGATATACAAAATCTATACCCCTCTCAGTGTTCCCCCAAAGTAACTAGCATTTTCTTTTCACAGAAGAAATAGCTGGGGTTGAGCGAGGACACGGGGGCAGGGAGGGGGCCTCACCCAGGATTACCACTGCCCCCGCCATTTGTGGAAGCCCCGGGGTGGAAATTCTGAGTTCTCACAGCCTATCTGGAGTATAATGACAACAAACAGGGTCACAACTTAGGCTAATTGCTTTTACTTAACATCTCTGAAGCTGAGTTCCACATTGTTACATATTTGAAATTAAAACAAAACATAAGTACCATTATGAAGAGGCTTGTTATTACATTATTGTTGTTACTGCTGTGTGAACTGGGTGTCCCTTCAAATTCTGTAAATATTAACAACTTTGAGAAATAGGAGCTGGTACAGTGCTTTGCCCAAAGTAGAAATTTTGTCAAAACGTCCATTGGTGCAACAGGGCAATTATGCTTCTGGACCAGAAGGTAATGTTAATGTGCAGATGTTGTGTTAGGTTGTTAAGATGATGGGCGATGGTTCCCCCACTTCACATTTCCTTATGTTGCTTCTTCAGTAGCATTCATTAATCTACAATGTGCCCTCTGATAAGCAACTTAAATTTTTGCCTCAGCCGGTAAAGCTAAAACTTATTCTTACTAGTGAAAATAATTTTACTGAATTCCTTACAGAAAAACTAGTGTTTATTACATTTGTGATATTTGTGACCCTTGAGGCAGCCCCACCTGTAAACCAAATAGACTCTTATTTCTGGGTGAAATTTCACTTCCTTAATCTAAAGGCAAACTCTAGACCTTGAATATTAATTTAGTCATATTGACCAGTTTTTTTTCCCCCCAATTCTTTTAACATTTGTTGGAAATCCTTTTTGAGAGCCATATTTTTAAATGATTTAAGCAGTTGTTTCCTCTGGGTAATAGAATCACTTTTTCTGTGTATTCTGAATTTTTTCCAGTGAGCTCAGGCTATTTTCATAAAATATAAATCAGGGGTTCCCACTGCCCCCTTCTCAGGTTCATTAATTTGCTAAAGTGGCTCAGGAAAACAATTAACTTACTGTCACTGGTTTATTGAAGATACAACTCAGGAGCAACCAAATGGAAAAGATGCATAGGGCAAGGTGTGGGAAGAAGGGATGTAGAGCTTCACTGTCTTTTCTTGGGATGTCACCCTCCCAGCACATCAGTGTATTCACCAGTTAGGAAACTCTCTGAGCCCCATTGTTTAGGGTTTTTATAGAGGTTCCGTTCTATAGCATGAATGATTAAATCATTGGTCATTGGTGATTAACTGGATCTCCAGCCTCTCCTCTCTCTAGAGGTGAGGGAGGGGAGCTGAACGTTCCAACCCTCTAATAACACTGGTTGTTAAGCTCTGAGAACCCATCCATCCCCACCCTGAAGCTTTGTAGGGGCTCACCAAGAGTCACCTCATTAGCATAAACTCAGGCATGGTTGAAAGGGATTTCTTATGAATAACAAAAGATGTTCCCATCATCCCTATCACTCAAGAAATTCCAAGGGCTTTAGGAGCTCTGTTCTAGGAACCAGGGTGAAAAACAAATGTATATTTCTTATATCACAATTTCTCATTACCCATTGGGCCTGCCATGGTGTGTTGCATATATTTGAGATGATTTAATTGAATAGGAAGCTCATTACTTATGCAGTTGCAGAATTTAATTGCAGTCTGTTAACAGATCTAGTTGTTGCATGATTCTTTACATTGGGCTAAATTTTACTTCATTATGATGTCCACCCACAGTTTTGCTCTCTACAACAATATAGAATAAGTCTGCTCACTCTTCTGAAAGACTGACTGTCTTTCAGATAAAGAGTTGTATGGAAACCAGCTCAATCACTAACTTACTTTTGAAGTAAACGGTAGCTGTACTGATAGCAGTTAATTACTGTATATAATCCCAAAATTATAGGCTTACAGCCTGTTGGTACCTTGTCCACTTTCTATTTCTACTTTTCCCACGGGAAACCTGTGAAAGCGTTTGGAAATAATCCCTCTAGATCTGGCAGCTCATAGAGCCTCCCTTTCTACTCTTTAATCTTCCTTTGTCTAGCTAAGCTAGTAGCTTCATAGGGAATGTTCTTTTTGGCATCTTATTTATAATACTCATGTTTGCTTAAAACCAAAGACTTAACCCTTAAGCGAAACAGAACACTGTATTTTGGTATATAAAGCCTTTTTATATTTTTATAATTTGACATCTTTCCAGACCATAAAGTAAAAACTATTTACCCTGTTAAGGCAAATAATTTCCAGGAAGTGAGAGAACAGATTTTTATATCCTCAATGTGATTGAGTGCACCTTAATATTTATATGTACATAAAAGTTATCACAAAAAAGCCCACAGTGGCCTGATCATTTAAAGGCCCATTTACCTCTCCATACTGACCTTAAAATAGCTGCTCCTGATATTTGTTTATATCAGCTATATGCAGTGTCAGGAAGTTTGAGTAGCATACCTATTCTGAGACTTCATGAAGAAGTGGATCTTGTCATCAGGGACTGTGTATAATCACAGAAAGCCTACAGTGATTTTATTCAACCAGGGTCATTCATTTCTGTTCCTGAATATTTCAAGAAGTCTAAATCAATTCAGATACCAAGATATTTTAAGGCTACTTTTTAGTTTAATTGAATATATTTAATTTTAGATATGATTCAAAAATAAAGAAGTTAATTAGTATACAGAGAAAAGTTGTTTTCCTACTCATTCTCTCATCTGCTCAGGTTCTATCTCTAGGTGTTATTAGTCTTCTGTGTTTCTTCCCAGAATTTCATATGCATGTACAAGCAAAATATGTAATTTGCCCCCTAATTTTGGACACACTATTTTTCACTGCTCATTTTTTCCCCTGTCAAATAGCATTTCTCATGGATACTTCCTTCAGTTTCTTTTACAGTTTCATAGTATTCCATTGTGTAGACATACGATAATTTATGAATCAAACATACTTTTCTGACATTTAGGTTTGTTTCAGTTTTTTGTTAATAATCTTGCATAATATGCCCACGTGAAAGTATATCCTAGAGCCAGTGTTAATTTTTTGAGACTGCTACAGATGAAAAACATTGACTGTGATCAAGAGGTTTGACTTTAATTGGTCCATCTATTATCCTTTATTCTGAGATGAGCCTTCAGTTAATGGAGAAAAAGAAAAATGATCTTATTAAATCTTGAAGGTCAAAAAAACCTATATCCATTTAGCCTTTTAAGTAGAGAAATTCTACTGCCTACTTACTAACCTTCAGAAATTTGGAGGCATCCTTAACTTTTTTTTCTTCCTCCTCTTACCACCTGTCCAGTCAGTCCAGTCACCAAGCGATGTGCTTCTTCCATACTAGGACTATTTGTTTTTGACCCTTTTCCATTCCTACTTCATTATCTTATCCGATTTAGTTATTCCCAATAGGATATATCTGCCTTTAGTCTTTTCTGTGCTCAAGTTCAGGGGTCCCCAAACCTGTGCTACTAACCAGTACTGGTCTGTGGCCTGTTAGGAAGTGGGCTGCACAGCAGGAGGTGAGTGGTGGGCCAGCAAGCGAAGCTTCATCTATATTTGCAGCCGTTCTCTAGCGCTAGCATCACTACCTCAGCTTCACCTCAGATTTTTAGACATTAGGTTCTCATAATGCAATGGTCCCTGGTGCGAAAAAGGTTGGGGACTGCTGCTAGTTGACCCTAATACTGGTAATGGCTAGTATTTATTGAATACCTGCTGTGTACCAGCCACTGTGCTAAGTGCTTTTCATGTACTGACCATTTCAGTCCTCACAACTACTCTATGAGATGATGGTAATGTTTCTATTTCATAGGTAAAGAAACAGGCATGGAGTTTATATAGCTAAGAGACAGTCCCAGTTCTTAAAAAGTTAATGACCTAATTAGGAGAAATAGGAAGCCATTTCTTCAAACTAAAAATGTGACACTAGTCCAGAGAAGAAAGGAAAGCGTGGGCAGAGGAAAAAGAGGTTTTTACATAAGAGAGAGGAGTATAGGATATAGGTGAATAAATGGAGGTTAGGTATAAGAACACACCAGAAAGAGAGAAATAAAGAGTACCCTAGGAGTGAATTTGCAAAGTTGGCAAATACTCTCAGCCAAACTAGTACTGATATATTTAAGCTTTTAAAATAATGCTGGTTCCTGACTCCATTCCTGAGCTGCTCCTAGATTAGATGGTGTGAGACAGGGTCTTGGAATCTATTGTGTTGATATTGTTACAAGCTATTCTGATGCACAGGAAGGCCAGGAACCACTGGTTAAAGAAAGAGTTAATATTGATGAGTAGGCCATTATATGAGGAAATGCCAAGCTGAAAGAGTTCATAGTTAAAGCAGTAGGCAGTAAAGAGTGAGTCACTGGGTTGGTCAGCAGAAATATGTTAAGAGCAAGTGTCTTAAGCAGACTTTTCTGGCAGCAAAATGCAAGAAGGAAAGGCTGCAAAAGGAACCAAGCTAGAAGACAGTTACAGAGAACTAAGGGTCATAATATCACTATGAGACTCTTAAAAAGGAGTGGGCATTTTGTCAGAGCTGCTTTGTTCAGAAATATGAATTAGGAAATTTATGATCTGAGAGTTAACTCTCGGAAGCTTCAGAATTTTTTACTTGCAAAGAGTAGCAAAAAGTAAGGGACCCATTTTCCAAGTTGAATAACATATGAGTTTACATCGGAGTTACATTTCTGGTCTATGCAATCAATCTCGTATTTTATTTCTGAGAGAGAGAGGGATACTGTAAGAGGTGATAATGTATAGAAGGCAGTTATCTTTTTTGACTAACTTTAAATAATCTAGTTTTACCTAACAGTTAGTTAGCTTATTTATGAATAAGCTCATTTATATAAAACCCTTTTTAAATATTTTCCAGTTTTACTACCTACAGGACTAATACTTTTTAGGGGTCTGCCTCACTATGTGATAGTTTCAGAGACTATGACATAGCAAAGAGGTCAAGAGCACAGGTTCTTTAGTGAGACTCTATATTTAAATCCCAGCTTTGCCACATACTACCTGTATGATATTGGGATTTAACCCACCTTTCTCCCAGTTTCCTCATCTATAAAATGAAGATATGGTAGTACCTTCCATAAAATAAGATTGTTAAAAAGATTAAGAGAGATAAACCCTGGTAAAGAGTAACTACTGAAATTCTAGCTATTATTTAGTAATAAAAATAGATAGTATTTGATTAAAAAAAAATCACTCTTGGAGCAGTGTAGAGGACAGAATTACAGGAGGCAAGAATAGATGTGGGGAGATCATCATCTCAGTAGACCAGACAAGAAATGATGATAGTTTGAGCAAGTGTGGGAGTGGAGCTAGAAGTAGACAGATCTGAGTGATTATTTAGGAAATAAAATTGACAGAAACGTCATAATGGGTTAAATAGAGATGGGTCATTGAGAGAGAACAAAAGGTGTTTTTATAGGTTTCTGGCTAAGGCAGCTGGATGAATAGAGACCCAATTTGGTGGAGCTTGGAGGATGGGGCAGGGCTAGATGCTCATGATTTTAGTTTGGGATATTGAATATGTTAAGTGCGAGATGGAATTTAGTCATCTGTGTTTTTAAGAAGCTGCTGGATGGTTCTACTGTATACCAGTTTAAGAACTGTTGATGTGAAGATAAAAAAAAGAAACTGTTGATGTAGATAGTTGGAGATTTGAGTCTGAAGTTCAGAGAGGAAGGACTGGGTATAAATTTAGGTGTGGTTTGCATATTGAAGGTAAATGAAGATACAAGTGAGGATGATAGTGTATAGAGCAAGAAGAGATGGAACCTAAAATTGACCATGATGAGTTCTAAAATTTAAAAGCCAGAAAGAGGGAAATGAACATGCAAAAGAGTCGCTAAGTGTTAGAAAGAAAATCAGGCAGTAGTAATGCACAGAAGACAAAGAAGGTGTTTTTATTAAAAGGGAGAGAGTGGTCATGGAAAATGAGAACTGAAATTACCCATTAGGATTAGCAGCGTGGAGGTGTTAAAAGTGACCTTTTGAAGAGCTTTTGAATGATAATGGAGGTAGATACCAACTAGAGGAGGGAATGAGAGGTAGTAAAATATAGGCAACTCTCAAGATGTCAGTTTTGATAGCTGGACAGGGAAAGGGGTTGAAGGAGGAATTTTTTTTTTTTCCAAAGAAGAGATAAACTTGATCATGTTTAAGTGATTATGGGTTGGCTGCAGTGGAGAAGGGGGTGTTGAATATACAAGAGAGGGGATAGTAGATAGATCACTGCGAGAGCAATGGAATCCAAAGCACAAGTGAAGAAATTGGTCTTAGTTATGAAGGGAGTAATGTTTAATATAATAAGAGGGAACAAGGAAAAGAATGGATATAGATATAGAGGAAAAAAGCTGCTGATGCATTGTGTGATGAGTAATGCAATTTCGGTGACTCTTTAAGTACTGTGTTAGTTGTTTCTGGGGAAGTGATTGGAACAGAGGCTTCATTTCTATCCAGCCTGTTCTTGGGCTAGCTCAGCTCTTTGCCCCTTTGGTCACTAATCCTTTGGCCTTAGCAATGCACCCATCCCTTCCCTTTCTTGGGAGTGAGCTCTGGGCCCATGGACCCCAGTGCAATACATCAGCTTAGTTTGAACATCTTGTCTGGATTTCTTTCACTTTTTCCTGAGGCAAGGAGAACTAAAACCAAACTTGTTGACAGGCTATTTTGGTAACTAAAGATACTGTGTTTTTCTTTAGAAATCCAATCTTCTATAATTTTTATTTCTGACAATTGAGTTCTCTAATATACTTCAATAAAAAAATCTGTTTCATCTATTAGAAATTTTTTAAGCTCATACTATGGGCCAGGCACTATAATAGGTACTTGTTATTCTGAATTAAATAAGACATGGCTGCCTCAAGGAGCTGGGAAAGACTGATGCTTACACACACACACCCTGACTTATTTCTCTTATAAATGCATACATTTGAAAATATCTAAACCCGAATCCAACTTCTTTTTGCAAAAAAAGGTCAATTTAATATCTCTTTGAGAATATCATTAAAGGGATCTTTATACATTATACAACTCAGATGTTCCCTTTTCCTTGACCTGTTTTTTTTCTTGCCGCTTCTGTAATTAAAATGCAGAATTTCCTCCCTTACCACCACCATCCAAAGTAAAGTGTCCTTACTGTGTATCAGGTGATCTTAACCCAGGTTCTGTAGATCTCAGCACATATGTGGATTGGTGGTTTTGTGAGTCTAGGAATCTTTCACAATCGTGTGTAAAATTGTTGAATGTGTATACATGGATTCATGTGGTGGAAAGAGTCCTTATTTTTTATGAAATTCTCAAAGCATTTTATTACCCCAAAATATTAAGAAATACACTATTAAAATGTTTATTTAATAGGTTTTGGCTTTTGACTATTTTATACCATTTACTATTTAGATTTTCTCACAGGAAGAAAGGGAAAATGAAAGTGCAGTATTTCATAATCGCACTTCTTAAAATTGTTGATACAATTTTTTATATTAATACAATTTTTAAATTGTATAATCATGTTATAATCATGCTACAGTTTTTCTTGTAAATACATTTTTTGTTTGTGTTTAGTACCAGGACCCTCTGTTGATAATGGCATCAGTATTACCATGATTTTGATGGCCTGGATGGTTATTGCAGTCATCTTGTTTCTACTGAGACCTCCTAATCTAAGAGGATCCAACTTAACTGGAAAGCCAACCAGTCCTCATAATGTAAGTGTTGTGGATTAGAAACTCATTGCAGTGGGGAGATGGGTGTGGCCTTGTAAAGGGGGATGAGTTTGTCTTGACTGAAATAACTGCATTAGGAAAAGGAAGATTTAATTCATGCAATAAATTCTTCCTGTGTAATCCCAGTAAATCTTGTAATCCCAAATGGTTTAGTCTTCATGTAATTACATATAGAGAGCAGCATAGTAGCCCAAGAATAATTTAAAAATGAATTTCAATCTTAGTCATATGAGAAACATAAAAAATGATCCATTTCATGATAATTTACAGCAATATTTCTCAATTCTCAGTCCTGTACTCCCCAGTTCTATCTACCTCAAAATTGATCCTTTGCTTCTCATGCTTCCAGCTTCCTAAATTATACTAGCTGCAGTCCAAATGTTTTTCTCCCCTCTGTCCTAGCTATTAAATACAGTAGAGACACTGAGTCTATCTGGCTAAATCCTCTTTTCCTCTTGTTTTCTCATCCTATTTCTCTCAAACTCATTTTTCCAGTTTTGTATCATAGTAGATCAGCTGAGTTGACAAAAGCAGAGGTAGGAATCATTCATAATGATAAATCTTGAGAGTCATGATTATAACTATTTTTAGAATCTTCTAAATGAAAAACATGATTAAGTGACCCAATAAGGAGTTTTTAGTACTATCTCTAATAGAACCTCCATGAAAGAATTCCTTTTAATAATTTTTAGAACCAGTATGTGTGTGTGTACACACACACACACATGCACACACACACACACACACACACACATTTGATTTGGATATCTTTAAAAATATTTCTGTGACGGATTCACTTGTTGAACAAATTATCCTACTAATTTCTTTCTTCACCCTTCACTATGTGAAATTTCTAAAATAATTGCTTCTTTTCCCTAATCTTGTGTTTTTAATATAAGAAAGTTCAGTTAGACTAATTTCTCATATAAATATGAAAGCAAATGTGCAATGTTAATTGGTCGGTGTTTTGGTTTTTTTAGGATTAGAACATTTAGATATGTAGCATGCTAGCTAATTTAATTAAGAGGGCATCATTAGCACTATATAAAAAGTCTTAAATTTATTTTTGTTTCTTTTTGGAAAGAGGGGTACCCGTAAAATATCTTGTATATTTTTTGATAAAGTGCTTTCTCAGCCTTTTTCTTACTTTCTGTGTACAGTTTTATTACTTTCATATCAAAGAGCAACTTCCTTAGTGTTTGGAGCTAAAGCAATCCAATTAAATAAGCTGACGTAGAAGCCATTAAAAAGTGACAGAAATGCAAGATTACAGTCCCCTGAACCTTAGTTCATTGTAGGCCAGCAGTTCTAGGAATAGTAGTCCCACTGCCATAAGAATATGCAAGAAGACATTGACTAATTTCAAGTAGAAAAACTGATCCCCCTCAACAAGAGCCTCATATAGCATTGTCAGAGTAAATAAATGGAATCTTTCTGAAGATTCTTACAAGTGCTGATCTTTCCTCTACAGTTCAGATGCTTTCTATTCCAAGTAACAAAAATCAGCTCAACCTGGTTTAAATAAGTGCTTTATTGGTCTACACATCAGAAAATCCAGAGATAGGGTCAGTGTTTAGAAAACTTAACAGTGTCATCAAAGACCTCGTTTCTTTCCTCATACCATCAGCTTCCCTTCATTCCAAGGCGGGTTCCCTTTGTGGTCATTAGATGCCTGCCAATAGCAACTGGAACCTCAGGTGTTCCCATTAGCATAGTGTAGATAGAAACAAAATTCTCTAGCTTCACTTTGATTGTACTGTATTCAATCATCACCTTAGTAAGAAGGATGAAACCACCTTTATTGGTTTAAATATCACCTGTAGAGTTGTTAGGGAGAGCAAATTCACTCATAACATACCATTGTTACACAATTTCACTTTCTTCCATACTGCAGGGAAGAATGAGACAAATGTCTGTGAATCACAGTCTCAATCTAGTGTTGCTTAATGCAAAAATATATGAAAAGCCCAAATAAGAATATGACTTGGGGTGAGAGGGTGGAGGGCATTGCTGCTCAGTTCTTACTATATGTGTTAGATTGGTTCCACTGGGATATAAGAAGTCAGTTCCATAATTTCTCTCTTTCTTATGTCAGGGACAAGATCCACCAGCCCCTCCTGTGGACTAACTTTGTGATATGGGAAGTGAAAATAATTAACACCTTGCACGACCAAATGAACGAAGATGACTAGAGTACTCTCTTAATCTCATTAGAACTGTTCTTTTCGCATCTGCAATATGGGATGGTATTGTTTTCATAAGCTTCTAGGAATTTTACTTGCAAGCTTATTTTTGCTTCCGGTGTTATCACCACTCCTATTTACAATATATTTGAGTAAGTGATTCTGTAAAAAGTTACATGAGCCCTTTAGTTATCCTAAACGTAAACATTCCACTAATTCTGTTTGTAACTGTGATCATAATTTTTATGATGATTTCTGGCCTGATTGAAGGAAATTTGAGACTTCTGCATTTAAATATTTTAAATAGTTTTGATAGATTTTAAAATTACTTTTTTCATAGGTATTTATAAAGTTATTTGGGGTTGTCAGAGATTGTATGAAAGAAAATTAGAACCACGTTCTTGGGACTGTGGCAGCCTTTGGAATATTTTACAAGTTACAGCTAAAATCTGTATTGTCCACTACAACTTGTGACTAGAAAAGGAGGAAAAAAGAAATGAAGTAATTGTTTGCTAAGTTTTTTTATTCACATAAAAATATACTTAAAAAACTTTGAATAAACATAATTTAAATATGATGGAGGATTTACAGTCCATTATGTAACATTTGAGCCACTGTACACTAACTAGCCTTACAAGGTTCATGAAAGGAGGAACTTTTTTTTTGCTTTTGTCAGATATAATCTATACATTAATAATCTCTATTTTAAAAATAGGTGCCTCTCACAAAGCTTTTCTGATCTAACACTTCCCCTGTTAAATGAAACTATCTTATAGTTGTATTGGGGGCCTCTTTGATTACTGCCATTTGATTGCTATTTACTTATTTTATTCTTTTCTTTGAAGAAAAAAATTTGAATCTTTTGTTACCCTTATGACTTTACAAATGTTTAATGAATTATTGGTTTATTCCAAGGGAAAAGGAGGAATATGAGAAACAAGGATCTTTTTCTGACCCGTATCTCATTCTTGTTGGGTAATGGGATGGACTGGGGTGGGTAGGAGCATTAATACAGGTAAAATTTTGAAATGTATAAAAAGTAAAAGGTTCCATTGTTTTGGTTAGTTTGAAAGAAAATGAATACAAATGGCATTTTTAAGAAGTCTGCATGACTTATGTGGTTATGGAATTTTTTCCTAGCAAGTGATTGCAGATGATTTATCGGGGCTAGAAGATATTTTGCATCAATGTAAGGGTTTTTGCCCCTTAGACCTGTCTAGCATTTTATTGTATCGATCTGAGAATCTGAGAAATTACTTGTATGAATTGAATAAACTTCTCTATATCATTGTACTGTTTTAATAGAGTCTCTGATACAATTGATGCCCTTAGGGTGTATTTTTCTCTTTATTATGATTACATTTTGGGCCATAAACATTGTAAGGGCTTCATTTCATTATATAATGCATTAACTGCTTGCATTCCTCCTGTGCTCTTGGCTTTGTGCTCAACTTCTTGAAATAATATAACCTACTCTTTTTTTTTTAGTATATGTGCTGCTGAAGCGAGCACATTATAACCTACTCTTAATTACTTGTGCTAATGAAGCAATGTTGTAACACAGGTAAGTCACATCCTGGATAAGTAAACACCATAGAGTTAAGGTTTTTCTTCTTGCCGTAGCCTACTGGAAGCCTTCCCAGCTGTATATTTAAAGCAGAAAGGGCATGAATGGGTTAAGATGGAGCTAACTGCCTAATGCATTCCTTTTTCTGCCCTTGCTCCCTGAAGGCTTGCACATATATCCTAACAGTTCTCTATGCTGCTCGAAAGGCAATCTCTGGCAGAGATACTGATGTATTCACTGAATCAACAGTTCATAAATAATCGAGAATTGGCTTTGGTAGAAGACATGGCTATAACATGGAAACAATGTCTACTGTTTGCTAGAGACCTAGAAATCTGGATTTTTATTCCTGGTTCTTCATTTCTGTCACATACACTTAATTGACATTACATCTAGAACATTAACCTTTTCTTATACAGCCCATCTATTTAACTAGCAACAAAAGTTTTTAGTGGAATAGTAAGTCTTGGTTTTTTGCTTGTAAAATTTCTCTGCAGTCCTGAAAAAGACAGTGTACTATAGCATATAAAGTATTACTGTTAACCTAACTAGTAATTTAGATTCTTTTTAATTCTTAAAGCTTCTACATGTAAAATGTTAACATCTTTTATTAAACAGTTTTTTATTGAGCACATTCTTATTCATTACTTGGCTTGTAAACATTCACCTGTACTATGGCTACAATCATAGCCAATCATTTGAAATAATCTGGAAAAAAGAAAGATAAGTCCTGACATTTTAATCACTTTGGACTCTTAAACATTCCACAAATGCCATTAAGAATTTATTTCGTTATAGAGTCATTTAATGTTCTTTTATGCAAAATAATGTTTTTTTGCTTCCCATTTGGAAAAAGTTAACATTAGAACTGTGTATAGTAAAAGATTTTATCATATGTCTATCCAAGCACTGTCCTATGGTCTTGAAGTCACATTTTAAACAATTTGCAGAGATTTTCTGAAGTAACTATTAAGTTCAGCTATTTGTGGTATGTGATTTGATTTGATAATGTTTATGGAATTACCAAATTCTTATATTTTCAAAGGAACCTTGGAAATTTATCACTCTGAATGAAAGTCTGTCATTCTAAATGAGTATGTGCTAAAATTTGACCAGCTCAACTTAAGACAAAACAACTGGAAGGAGAAAGTTTACAGTTAATGGGTTAAATTTTTGTTGCATATTAGATTTAGTCAACATTATAATATCTCTAAATGAAAAATCATAAGTATTTGTTACCATGTGTGATGATTACTTTGTTAAAAGCAAAAGTGGTCATGTGATGTACTAAGTGTTAATTGCTGTTTTTAAATGTTTAAATCATGCCAAACAAATCCATCTGTGCCACCCAGGGTTTATTGTAATCTTTTACTGAGTATTTGGATTGGGATAAAGGGCTTGTACTATGCACTTTTTATTAATGAATAAATAGAAGACATTAGTAACACTCATTGTTTTCTGTTTGGCTTTTGTGAGAAGAGAAACAAATATCTTTTGTTATGAAAATGTTAACATCTTTTATTAAACAGTTTTTTTTGTAAGACTTTACCCCTAACTAAAGACTTTCCTGAGAGAGAACTTTCAGTTATAAGAAAAATATTTATATATTAGCAGTATGGGGCCAGTATTCAGAAGTAGGGATTCTAAGAAGCACTAGGAAATTAATTGCAACTACATTTCTTTCATAATTCTATTTTATTTCTTCCTATAATATAGGGTCAAATAGATATTTGCTTTTTGGGACTAATATCCAACAGTGTTAATTATTCGAGCAGACATATGTTACCTATAAAGAGCTATATGTGTAACTGTATTGAAAACACTCAAAAGTGAAAATTTGCTTTTGTTCTGTAACCTGGAATTGATCCATATACAAAAAATCATTAAAACCTATACATATGTAAAAATGGTAAAATTGCTCTGGCATGATTATGATGTCAGTGTGTGATACTTAAATGTTATTTCAAATAGCAACATTTGTGAAATACATAATTGCTGGAGATAGTTAATGGTTTTAATCTAAAGTTTGTCATGTGTGTATGTAAGTGGATAACTAGATCCTCAGTAAAACTAAGTTTTCATTTAATGACTCTGAATACTAGTACTCCTCCCAGAAAATGGAATTTAATAAAATAAGTTTTTTGCTTCCTGCCATTACACCTGGTTTTCTCATTCAGAATCTCAATTTCTAGAGTTGCCTCCCCCACAAATGTTTCATAAATACCATGATTATCTCTTATGCTAAGATTTTATTTTCACTTACAGTTGACATACAATATTAGTTTCAGGTATACAACATAGTGATTAGGCATTTATATAACTTAACAAAATGATCACCTTGTGCTAACATTTTGAAGAACTGGAGTGTTCAGTGTGATCTTTTCTCATGGGGAACTTAATTTTACATATCTTTTCTCAAATGAACTATGTTGGTTCAATAAACATCTCAGCAGGTGTTTTTATTGTTTACTGCTTAACTGTTTATGCTTTAAAATGTATGCTATTCAGGAATAGATTTAAGAATAAAGCAACTTTGATATAAAAAAAAAATGTATTCTCTTATACAAAACTGCTTATTTCTAGGAATTTTAGGACTGAGAAAAAAACTTTAAAATCCCTGCCATGTCAGAGGCTTTACCTCTTAAATATCTGGTCCTATACTGCTTATAACTTTAGACACTCAGGCTGTATCTTGATGATTAATGGATTTCAATTGCATTGATTCTGTTTGTTTTGAAAAACTGAGCAGAATTATTTAAAAAGCACAAATACTACATGGCAGATTCAGCATTATTGAGTAAGTCTCTTATGTTGTTTTTAAAGAAATGAATCCATCATATGGTCTCTCATTAATTCAGTAACATAGGAAGAGGGGCTTTCAATACAAAAGGCATTACAGACCCTAGTCTTAATGTAGCTTTCCTTGACAAATAATTAGTATATGAACATTAAACTTTGGAAGTCTGGATGTCTTAAAAGGGATCCCTTACAATTAATCATCAAGTGCAATTTTGTGGTTACAATATATAGAACATGTAAATCTAACAGGAGAGCCTACATCTCCAACAAATGGGCTAAGATTTATATCCTTGCAAGTGTTCTTAGCCTTCATTTTTACTTAACAACCTTAAAGACTACATTTTACTGTTTTGTCTCACATTGCACCTTTATCAGCATCCTTTTAACTTTCTCCTTTTCACTAGCAACAGCTTATTGAAAACTTTAGCAGTCTCAAGCTTCAAGCATAATTCTGTTAGCCAAAGCTAAATCAGAAAATTTAAGGAAACCTTGGGCTAAATAAAGTAATATTGAAAACTAGTTTCTCCATTGAGGAATGGATAGAAATACAATTTTCTCTCTGCAACATCCAAGGAATTTTTTTCATTGTGTCACAATATTTTAAGAACTCAGTCACATAAATAGATGTAAACTGGCAACAGTTACTAGGTTGAGTTCCTTGTGCCCTCCCATATTAATTTCTGATGCTAATCTCTGAAAGCATTGAAGATACTCAGTGTTTTTGTTGAAGAAAGCTGACCATTTTTTTATCATTGTAATTTTCATCTAGTTCCCAAACTTCTATTTTCATTGTAGCAATTTGTGTGATAAATAAAAATATTTAGTATTGTCAATAATGTTTTAATCTTGGTAAAAAAAAAAAAACGTTAAAGTAGTTTTGTGTGAGCCTGAATTAATGTTAAGGCAAGCAATACAGATTTTTAGCTATTCTTACAACTAAAACATATACCAGAGGCTATTGCATATAGTGATAGCTATAGTGATTCTCAAACTCTCTAATATGGGGACCCCCAAAGAGCTTTTTTTTTTTTTATATGGATTATATTTATCAATATTTACTGCATCCTCTTGAAACTTACTTGATTTTGTTAATGTCACCGCAGTAATTTTTAGTAAAAAAATTTTGCTCTATCCCAAATTTAAAACATTTAAAAGTGTTAGGTATTTTTAAATAATAAACCCAATAAACATTAATATAAAAATTTTAAATGAAAAAAATAACCATTTTCCAAAATGAAAATTTAGAAGAGTGGCACTGCCTTACATTTTGCCAATCTCTTTAATGGCTGGTTTGATAGAAGAAAGCTGGGTTATCATTTTTCTGCATTCAATGTTGCAGTATCTTCCTTTCTTAAGAAACTATGTATGTCAGTTTTCATAAAAGACTAACAGTATTTTGAGCAGCCTATGCTTTGACTAGGGAGCACAAGTTATATAACCCTTAGGCAGCCCATTTAATTTGGAGCCTCAGTTTCATTGGATATGATACTACTTTGTAGCAAGCTGAAGTGAGGATCAAATGAAATGTTTGTAAAAATGCTTTGTAAAGCCCAAAATAAATGTTATGCAAAGGCCTTCACCATCCCAACACACAAACCCTCCCTTTTCGAAACTAAGTTGTACGAAAACTATGGATTTAAGACACATCCATTGAATTTTACATTGGAAGGAATTCACCCTATGAGGAATGGACAATAGCACCTTTAGGTCAGTGTTTGGAATATGAAAAACATTAAAGATTAAATATCACAGTTTCCAATCAAGATTTTTAAACCTTGGTAGGTAAACTGTAAAGCAGATAAATTTTGACTAACAGATGAATAATTCCATCGTGAGAAAGGCTAAACAGCAAACCATTAATTAGGCTAGAGGTTCTCAACTTTTATTACACATTACACTCACCTGGAGAGCTTTGAAAACCACTGATGCCTTGGCCTCACAACTCAGAGGTTCTGGTATGGGGTTAATTGGTATGGAGTTTGGCCTAAGCATCTATAAGTGATTTCAGTAGCAGTTAAGGGTGAGAACCAGTGACCATAAAGAATGCTAAACCTTGTGTTTAGTTCTAGAGATGAAAAAACAGAAACAATAAAAAATAATTTTCTTCATACTAATTGATTTCTATATATGGGTAGGAGATTAACTGTGTTAAAGAAAAACAGGCCAAGGAAACAAAAACACTATTAAGGAATACAAGTGGGATTATTACTTTATAAGGAGTTGGATAACAAATTATGTTAACAGGGTAAATATTCATTACTCAACCATTAGACTTACTGGCCTTCAGAAAAATTAATTCTTGTGATGGTAAGGTCATTTGTTTTTAGTCCTTGCCTTCAGAAAAATTAATTCTTGTGATGGTAAGGTCATTTGTTTTTAGTCCTTGTCCTCAGAAGTTTATATTCTATTTACAGGGTACAAATACAAAAGCTAACAAATAAGATGATTTCAGGGACTGCTAATTGCAAAGAGAAGTTAAAATACAAACAGTCGTGGTGAAAGAGCATTCTGAAGAGTGATTTGACTTGAGACCTGAATGATGCAGGTATGCAAAGATCTGGGCAGTTTTCCAAAAGAAAAGAGAAGTGCAAAGGCCCTCAGATTCAAACAGACTTGGCATTTTCAAGGGATGAGAATAAGGCCAAATGATCAGTATGAGATCAGTAACAAGGTTTAAATCTTGTAGGATCTTGGAATCCAAAATAAGGACTTTGGATTTTATTATGATTATAAAAACAAATGGAGTAGGGGTGGGGGATATATGATATGATCTAATTTATGATTTTTGATTTTTTTCAATTACAGTTGACATTCAATATTATATTATTGTTTATATTATAGTTTCGGGTGTACAGCATAGTGGTTAGACATTTATATAATTTACAAAGTACTCCCCCTGACAAGTCTAGTACCCACCTGACACCATATATAGTTATTACAGTATTATTCACTATATTCCCTATGCTGTACTTTACATACCCGTGACTATTTTGTAACTGCCAATTTTACTTAACCCCTTTCCCTTTTTACCCACCCCACAACCCACTTCTCATCTAGCAGCCATCAAAATGTTCTCTGTACCTATGAGTCTGTTTCTGTTTTGTTTGTTTATTTTGATCTTTAGATTCATATATAAGTGAGACCATATGGTATTTGTCTTTCTCTGTCGAACTTATTTCATTTAGCATAATGCCCTCTAGGTACATTTATGTTGTCGTAGATGGTAAGATTTCATTTTTTTTTATGGTCGAGTAATATTCCATTGTATATATGTACCACTTCTTTATCCAGTCGTCTTTAGATGGACACTTGGGTTGCTTCCACATCTTAGCTATTGTAAATAGCACTGCCATGCACATAGGGGTGCATATATCTTTTCGAATTTGTGTTTTGGACTTCTTTGAATAAATACTCAGAAGTAGAATTGCTAGGTAATAAGGTAGTTCTATTTTTAATTTTTTGAGGAAACTCCGTACTGTTTTTCACAGTAGCCGCACCAATTTGCAATCTCACCAACAATGCACAAGTGTTCCCTTTTCTTCACATCCTCACCAACACATGTTGTTTGTTGATTTATTGATGATAGCCATTCCGATAGGTGTGAGGTATCTCATTGTGGGTTTAATTTGCATTTCTCTGGTTAATTGTGATTTTGAGTATTTTTTCATATGTCTATTGGCCGTCTGTACATCCCATTGAGAGAAATGCCTACTCAGGTCCTCTGCCCATTTTTAAAAATTGTTTGTTTGGTTTTTTTTTTTTTTTGATTAAATTGTCTGAGTTCTTTATAAATTTTGAATACTAACCCCTTATCAGATGTATCATTGGCGAACATCTTCTCCCAATTGGTAGGTTGTCTTTTCATTTTGTTGATGGTTTCCATTGCTGTGCAAATCTTTTGTTTGATGTAGTGCCATTTATTTGTTTTTCTTTTGTTTCCCTTGCCCGAGGAGATAATATCTATCTTTATATATATATTACTAAGAGCAATGTCAGAGTTTACCACCTATGTTTTCTTTAGAAGTTTCATAGTTTTGGGTCATTCATTTAACTCTTTAATCCATTTTAAGTTTATTCTTGTATATGGTATAAGAAGGTGGTCTGGTTTCATTTTGA